GGGTACTAGGGTAATTAACTCTACCTTTGAAAATTGCCCCTGCGCCAGATTACCTGCCATCAGTTTTTGGGCCTGTGCTTGGCCAGCACTTACAAATGTGTGCCAGCCTCTCTGCACCTTGGCCTCTCTGGGTCTTCAGTGCCCTCTACTTCAAGAATGTAACTTTCATAGCCATGGCCATCACTTTGTTCAAGCCAAGAAAATGATGCTGAAGACTGCACTGTCTTCACCTGCTTTGCTTGAACTTTTTTCTGTATTAGGGCCTTCCTACCTGTTTTGTATTTTTTTAATCCTCACCTGAGGATATGTTTATTGATTTGAGGTGGGGGGGATAGAGAGAGAGAAACAGTGATGTGAATTGATGTGAGACAAGCATTGATTGGTTGCCTCCTGTTTGCACCCTGACCGGGATCAAACACTCATCTTAGGAATGTGTCCTGAGCAGAAATGGAATCTGCAACCTTTTGGTGTATGGGACAATGATGCTCCAAACAACGGAGTCACCCAGCAAGGACCTCCCTAACTGTTTTTGATAAAGGAACTTGTAAGTCATATTTGAAGAGGATCAGTATATCTTTAAGACCTGCAACCTCAAGAACAATGAAAAACTAGGTTAAGGCTTGCTGTTTGTGGCAAGCTACTCATCTTCAAGTATATCCAGTAGACAGTCCATGGCCCTAAGACCTCTGGTTGGCCAGCACCACCTGGATTCTCATCTTTGACCTGGAGCCCATTTCAACCACCCTGCTGAGTGTCAAGAAAAACAGACATAAACAGTGGTAAGCTTGTATGAGCTGAAGGGCAAAAATAAGGGGCCTCTAAATCAGTGGCTGGTTTCTGCAGGACTGGTTGTGGACTCAGACTCCCTGCCAACCATTGGAAAACTGAGCCCTCTTTTCATGTCATTCAGGGACCATACCTAATGTCAGACAAGTGATTGGGTTGGCAGATGTGGCTTCATCATCTCAGCAAGGGTGAATATGGTATCCCTTCTGAGAATCAGGTGTTCTTAGCCACAGCCACTGAGCCCATGAAGAATATGGTGCACTTGGCATTCCCTTTTTACTCAACCGATCATGGCCAGGTGACCGAGTGCTCTGTAAGATGCTAGGAGTTAAACGAAGATGTTTGTCATCTTCAGGCTTCATCTGTCTGCTTACATCTTATTCCTATATCTTCCTCTTTCTCTACTCTTGTCCCCCTCTTTCTGTTTCTAAAGACACTGGAAGCCAAAAACAGAAAGCAAAATGAGAAGAAAATCAGAATTTTTAATCTGCTTCTCCTCTAGATAATACCCAGATGGAGAGAGAGAGAGGATTTCCAGGAAGGTAGAGTGCCAGAGTTTTCTGGCCCTTTACTCTTACGGCCCCTCCCTCAGTTCTCTTTCATAAATCCTAGAAAGTTCAAAGACAGACAGACTCAGGACTGTGGGACTGAAGGACTGAGGTGGCATGAGTACCATGGGAGAGGGCTTATTAATTGCCCTATTGTATGCAGTGTTCGTTTAGACTAATCCTAACCCCAATACCACAGTCACTCTCCCCTACAACACACACACTTCTCCCTCTCCACTGTGCCTTCTGGCTCTTCTATGAGCACAAGTTTGGTTGCATTTTCCCATCACATTTATGTTAACATAGCCATGTGACTTGCTTTGGTGAATGAATCTTGAGAAGCTGTATATGTCACATATGGGAAAAAGCTTTAAGAGCTAGTGTATAATTTGTCAGAATCTCTCTTTTCCTCTGCCTTGACAACCAGCTCCAGGTGAGGAGGTTCCATTAGCCTTGTTTCTAGAGTGAAGAGGCATGGCACAGTGTTTCTCCCGTCTACCCCAGTCTTTCAACCCATGTGAATATGTAGCATGCATGGATCAGAAATAAACTCTTAACTATTTTAGAGCATTAATATTTGGAGGTTATATTGTTTCTGCAGCAAACTCTAGCATAGAACAGTGGAAACAACCTCTTTTATATATTATATATATAATATATATTCCTCTTTTATATATTATTAGATATTATAATATATATTATATATTTATTATATAATATATATTACATATATTATTATACATCTATATTATACATATATTATATATTATTATATATATAATTTGTATTTTGGGTGTTTATAAATAATTGTGAGATTTTTACATCTTAGGGACATTCTTATTTTTAAATTTTTTTAGTGTTGTGCAATTACAGTTGTCCTGATTTTTCCCCCCCATTGCTCTCCCTTGCCCTGCCCACCTTCCTCCCAAAATTCTTCCCCCACTCCATTGTTCTTGTCCATGGGTCCTTTATATACATGCTCATTGACCTGACCCTTCCCTTTGTTCCCCCCATTATCCCCCTCCTTCCTCCTCTCCAGTCACTGTCAGTTTATTCTTTATTTTCATATCTCTGGTTCTATTTTGCTCACTTGTTTGTTTTGGTGATTAAGTTCCACTTATAGGTGAGATCATATGGTATCTGTCTTTTACCTCCTGGCTTATTTCATGTAGCATAATACTCTCTAGTTCTATCCATGCTGTCAGGAAGGGTAAGAGTTCTTTCATTCTGCTGTCTAGTATTCTATTGTTTAAATATACCACAGTTTTTTTGATCCACTCATTTACTGATGGGCATTTAGGCTGTTTCCAGCACTTGGTTATTGTAAATAATGCTGCTATGAACATCGAGGTGCATAGGTTCCTTCAAATTGGTGTTTCAGATTTCCTATGGTACAATCCCAGCAGCAAAATTGCTGGGTCAAAAGGTGATTCCATTTTCAGTTTTTTGAGGAAATTCCATACTTAAAAAATGGGTGAAGGACCTAAACAGACACCTCTCCAAGGAGGACATACTGAGGGTCCATACAGGTATGAAGTGGTCATTCTTTTTTGATGTCCATTCCTTGACTCTTGATTCTGTTATTTCTGATTGCTGTCCTGACTTCAAATATTTGCAAACTAAATGCTATAAAATCTCATGTGATTATATGGGTTTTAATGTGAATTTGTTATGATGTGCACATACTTAACTTGTACTTCATTAGATTTATGTGTTATATCAATTGGTAACATATTGGTCCATCTTCTATACACTATTACATTACATACTCCTGTGGAGAAAGTGTAGCATGCAACTAAGATAATGAAGATAATGCTGCTGAGGAAAAGGATGATGATAGGGATTTCAAAAGGAGATCATGCTCCAGGAACTTGCATGTTCAGAGTGACTGTGAAGCTGTTTAATTTATACAATTAACTGATTCCCTATGTGTCCTAATACCTGAAAATCAGAAGGTAGTTAGTATCAGAAAATCTAGATAGCTAACAGGATTCTTGATTTTTAAATTGTGTAGAAATACAAAAGGATGAGATAAATGTGAGAATTAGAAAAAGATTTTGTGTTTCTGGGGGTGAGGGATGGTAAATGGCCACACAATAGACATTTATTATTTGTTGGGTGTCTTTCTCATTGGATATTCTTTGGGGGAAGTATATTTTAGTCTTAGGAAAAACCTTTGCAAACTCACAGTGAATTTTCTATTGTTCTTACCATATGATTTTATTTCCATTTTTTTTGGGGGGGGGGGATCAGAAAACAGGCCTTGGAGTTAAAGTTTTAAACTTCATGATCTGTCTGAGGCTATTGGAATCATTTTTGATGTGTATTTCCTGATAAGGTTCTGATGAGCGAGTGATAATTTTGGCATTCTTAGTCCCTTGGGCTTTTTAAGTATTCTCATTATACTGTCTAAATTAGTGCTCACAGACTTTAATACAGTACAGCTTTTAATACTATAGTGTTAGAACACAATCACATGAAATTAAATTGTGGCTATTAAATCTTAATTAATAGAGTATCTTGTAACTCTTGGTATATTTATGATAAAAGCATGTCCAGTCATTTAAAGGTAATTTATTTTCTATGCAGATCTATATGGCACACAGATTTACATAATGCAAATAAAAAAATGGTGAAAATGAGCAAATGATGTAGAATGACTATTATTATAATCATGGTAAACATGGTGGATTAGTATTTATTCACTTGGTAGATACTTTTAAAATACCGGTATTTTAACACTATAGTAAACCCTATGAATACAGAGATGAAAAATACATGGTCTTGTTTTTAAAAAGCTCACATTAACTAGGAGTGCATGTTAATTACACATATTGATTATGGCCTGTGATGAAAGCTTTAGCAAAGAGGTGTGGAAAGTGCTGAAACAGAATAAAAAAAGGATTAGGATTTGATCTACCAGGAACTAATAGATGACCAAGGAAGGCTTCAGAGAAAAAGGGATACTGAAATCGAACATTTTATACAATATTTCATCACTTTGTTCTATTAAAATAGAACGTTTGAAGATTTTACCATCATAATTACTTTGGATAACTGGTGAACTTTCCTCTCAAAATAAGTTGTGTTTAATTTTTATGCCATACTTTATACTTGGAAATTGGGAGTTTTAACCTGGGGTAAATATTTAAAATATTGAATAAAAGTAATGGCAATTCAAAATGGGTACTGACCATAGAATTAGGACATGGTCAGAAAAAGACTCTAGCAGTCCTGTTAACCTTTTAATTGTAGGATTACGGATGGATTCTTGCACAATAATTTCTCGCCTCTTAAGTATAACTAATATTGAGAGTTTGAGGAAGATGAGAAGGTGGCTTTGAAAAAGGTCATCATTTGGAAATAGTCCAGGTAAAATACTGACAATTATATTTTGCAGATGATAATTATTTTATATACCAGTTGTTCTCAATTTCAACAATCATCCAGGGGGATAATGCTGGTGAACAGCCCTAGAGTGAGCTGTCAGTGTTTGGCTATGGCTGTTTGCAAACTCTGCTGTGATTACACTCAGTTGTCTAATTGCTTAATTTATCGATGTTTTGCTGACATGTTTTTCAGCAATGTTTGTGGTTGCAGAGAACTAATCATTTCTATTCTGACTCATTATCATATTTTTGCATTTAATTTTTCTGATTGCTGCAGGTGGAAACAATAGGTGATGCATACTGTGTTGCTGCAGGACTCCACAGAAAAAGCCTCTGCCATGCTAAACCCATTGCACTGATGGCTCTGAAGATGATGGAACTTTCAGAAGAGGTGCTGACACCTGATGGAAGACCAATTCAGGTCACTCTCAACATATAATTTGAGTAGTAATGCATGTTGACCTGATTGGGGCAAAAAAATTCCCTCTGAATTCTATATACTGTAGCTTATACATCTAGATGAGTTAGGTGTGCAAGGAGGATGAGGAATAGCTAGAGGTGACTCATAGAGGTGTGTGGAAGGCAAATTACCATGGAGGAAAAAAGGAGCTAAAGGATTAGACCAAGGGGAAGAACTTGCTTTTAGTAAGCAAGTCACCAAATCCAATTAAGAATGATAGTAAGAAACAAAGTCTGAGAAATAATCCAAAAAATGAGAGAGAAAGAAGGAGGCAAGAAAATAGAAGATCTGGACAACTTCCTGTGGGTAGTGTACAGGTATTCCTCATGAACCCTCATGCCTCAGGGTTGCTTCTACAATTTTTATATGATAGAGTCTGAAAGTTGGAACCCAATAACTGAGGAAACTAAAAATGGAAAATGTAACCTCTGGCGTGTTGTACTTTTTTTGGTACTGATGGTTGTCTGCAGCTTGGGATCTACCTCTAGGAATGTATTAGGTCACATAGCTATAGTTTTACTGTAACCCAATGGATCCCAGATGTGTTGTTGCTATGAATCTTTATAAACCAGAAGTCTTATATTTGGAGAAGTAACTTGGAGTTTAAGGCAACCCTTTTATAACAGCTCACTAACTATGAGTTAAAAATCACAGAAAATAAAGTCTTAAAATGTGAGTACCTTTCTGGTCTGGCATTATGGGAAATTAGATACCCTAAGGGTCCCTTCTGACTGAATTATTAAAAGGCAGGGTTAAGTACTTTTAAAAGTTTTAAAGACTATTAAGCATGACACAAGTTATAGAAAAGAGAGAAATGTGCCAATCACATTTTGGGTACAGACTGAACAAAATTTAAGTGGTGAATTAAACTAAGTGTTCTGTTATTAGTAGTGATAGTAGGAAACTGGGAAACACTCTTTCCTCCCTGGAGGAAGACAACTTCAATCTCATCTTCAACAAATTTTCACAGATAGAAAATCAGTGGTTTCTATTCAAAACAAAACAAAATAAAACAATCAAACAAAGAAAACACACACTCACACAGGAAAACAAAGTACTATAGCTAAGAGCTCATAGAAACAGTAGATGAGGAAAACAGACCTGGAGTGTTGTCAGATATCAAAATTGTCAGATAGAAGCAAAATAATGATTTAATATAATTAAAGAAATAAAAGAGAAGCTTTAAAATATGGGACTGAAACAATACATTTGAAAAAGAACCAGAGAACTTGTATGCAACCAACATAATGAATGCTTAAAAAAAAAAAAAAAAAAGAGCTCAGTGGATGAGTTTAAAAGCAGATTAGATACAGATGAAGCAAAAATTAGGATACTGAAAGTTAGCACTGAAGAAATTCCAGTTAAGTTCAGAAAATTAAAAGTGGGGAAATATGAATCAGAGAATATAAAATATAAAATATGGAGGAGTCATGGAGGACAAAGTGATGTAATATATTTTCAATTGGGGTTCTAAATGGAGTTAATAGAGGGAATGCAAAACAAATTTTGTGGATCTATTAAAAGACATTAATAAAGTCTCAGACACAGTAATCTTAAATAATGGGTTAAATGTGAAAGATCATACTATAAAACAATAAACTTATAATTAAGATTTTTTGACTTAGAATGGAGAACTATTATTTTGCAAGTAGGTATGTTAAAAATCTTCAAATCACAAAGGAAAATATTATAAATTTTACTACATTAAAATTAAAACCCTATTTCTCAGAGAACACCTATAGAGAACAAAAAGATGATAACAAACTAAGAGAATTTTTTGTAACATCTTTAGCCAATAAGAGTATCTTTGATTAATCTTATCAATAATCAGATTAATAATATATTGATAACCCTATACCATCTCACCTACTAGTTTGGCACAGTTTTGAAAGTCTTACAGTACTACTGTTGGTGAGGGCATGGAGCAGTAGGATATCTCACACACAGCTGGTGGGATTACAAATGGTACGATGTCCTTGGCATTAACTAGTGCATTTTACCTTGTGCCTTTCTTACAACTCAGCAATCCCTCTTCTAGATGTTTCTCCCAGGGAAGTACTAGTGCATGTGTGGCAGAAGTCACACAAAAGATTATTCACAGCAGTTCTTTTCAAAATATTCTCAAATTGGAAATAAGTGAAATATCCACTCAATAGAATGGGTAAACTGATATATTTATGCCTTGGGATACCATACAGTTGGGCAAATGAATGACTTTAGCTATTGACATCAACATGGATGAATGCCAAAAACATAATATTGATCAAACAAAGCAAGTCATAGAGGAATGCTGTAGTATTATTGCATTTAATAAATTTCAAAACTGGGAAAATTGAAAATATATGCTATTTAGAAATACCTGCATTGATGGAAAAAGTTAGGAAAGAAAGGGAATAATTAATACAAAATTCAAGATGGTGCTTAACTCCAAAAGAAAGAAAGATGATGGCAAGAGAGGGGAATGCAATAGGGAAAGTAGACGTAGGGGTTACAGTGCAAAATTATTCATTTTATTACTATTCTTTAATATGGACATATATGTTTACATTTGAAAAAATTTAAAAGTGCAAAGAGAAAGACTCCCACCAGTGGTGAAAATAGAAAATCGCAGAGCGTTAAAAAAAGTCTAGTTTACGTCCCTTCAGGACACAATTATCTAGTTAGTCAAGTGTATGAATGACACTTGTATCACTGTCAGGAAAAAAAAAAAAGCAAAAGGAAACTGTCTCAGATCTGCTGCAAACTGAAAATCTACACATTCCACACTGAATTTATACCAGTTCTTAAATTTTCCAGACTACCAGCTGGCTAGTGTTATCATTTGGGATGATCTTTCTATGTTAGATTTTCTTTTATAAGACAAACAGTGTTTGTATTGATTCATTATTGACAAAACAAACTTAAGTTACCAAATAACAGAACCAGGGGACTGTGTTTTATGCTATGTTCATCTCTATTTTCATTTGTGGGACATAATGTTAGCTCTCTCTTATGAATCAAGATAGTCTTATTAAATCAGAAGGGGAAATGTCCATAAAAATTTAAGAAGAATGCAGAAAGAGAACTCAGAATAATAACACCACCTTAATAATTTTAGCTTCCTTATTAATTTATGGTATCTGCATGGTTTGGAATTTTTTTTTTTGCATATTGATTTGATTTTCAATTGGCTTCTAACTTGGTGCCATGGGAACATTTCTAAACTTACTGAAAGAAACTTTCATTAAAAATACTTGGGTATTATATTAGAATTGATATGTGAACTTTTTATTATTTTCTTAAAACTGTCCAGATTCTCAGGCTATATAAAATTTAAGCCATTTGAGTTACAATGATTGCTCAAAACTCCCCGAACTTCTAAAATTTTGAAGAATAAATTGATAATTTTTATAAGACAAAATTTTGAGGCAACTGTCATGGTGGGAAATAAGAAACTGAGTTATCATTTATAATTGCTTTCAAATGATTGGTAATGTCCTTGAATTCTTAAATGTAAAATTGACTGGGTTAACTTTTTATATTAAAAAAACAACAACAACAGGGACTATGGCATTTCACCTCTTCAGTTTATAATACTAAGCAAATTATTTTTCTCTAAGTACCCTCATGAAGCTCAGAGGATAGTTCTAGACTGTATTACAAAGCACAATATACAAATATGGTCCATTTATACAACAAATTCTGAAAATTCAGCATGAAGTGACTTTAATTAAAACTGATTTTAAAAATAGTTACTAAGAATATTTTGTGTTTTATCAATATGATATTTTTCTATTGGCTGAATACATGGAAATGCCAGTATTATGCCTATTCCATTTTTCCCCTCTCTAGAGAAAATCTGATTTTATTATATCTTAAACAATAGACAATAGAAGAAAAATAAAGTCAGATTATGTTCTCTCTCCTTCATATGAATTAGCTATATGGCGATTTCACTGGAAAATTATATAATTTCATGCTGTTCATTAACTTATGAACCTAATCTTACCAAAGTGTTTTGAATACAGTTTCTAGTGCTTAAAGACTAACTTTTACTAATAGTTTACCACTCTTTGATTAAAATAACAAAACATTTGTTACTGTTTGTGCTTTTTTTGTTTAAAAAATAAGTAGTAAAGGGTCCTGGCTAGATAGTACCATTGGTTAGAGCGTCATCTTGATGTGCCAAGGTTTTTGGTTTGATCCTCAGTCAGGGCCCATACAAGAATCAACCAATGAATACATAAATACCGTACTTGGCCGTGTATAACGAGCTCCCATGTATAACACACATCCACATTTTTGTGCACTTTATACAAAGGATTATTATACACATGGTATATAATCATTATACCCATGTATAATGTGCATCCTTATTTTTCCCTTAAAAATTTGGGCAAAAAAGTGCCCATTATACATTGCAAAATACGGTAAGTGGAACAGCAAATGTTTCTCTCGCCTTCCCTCCATCCCTTCCTCCCTCTGCCCTTCTCTCTCTCTTCCCCTCCTCCTTCCTCTCTCTCTCTAACATTAATTTAAAAAAAAAGAAAATAGGTAGTAAGGAAAGGAAACTGGGTTGAGGACTGTCTAGAGTATGTGATTAAACACATAGTAAAAAGACAAGTATCATTTTCATAATTTAAAGCTCTTGAAGAAGCCTAAGTTAGTGTGTCCAGATATCTAAGTTTTACTTCTGGATTTTAGTTTTTAAAAAATATTTTCATTGAATTTCATCACATAAACATACAAATGCAAGTTCCCTTCATTTGTTCAGAGAACAATAGATTTTATATAATGAGGCAATTATAGAGATTGTGAAATAGAGTTAAAAAAATATTGTATGATCATGTAATACTAATATGTTTAGCAACCTCAATTGCAAACCAGGGAAATGCTATGAATTTTTTCTTACTGCTTAGTTCAAAGGCAAGAATATTAACATACAATTTACATGTACTGTAACATATTAAATTCTAGCTCCT